CGCAGTGTTCCTAGGGTGCCCTCTGCGCAGCCCCACCCAGGGCTCTGTGTTCATGGGGTCCCCTCTCCCCTGGGCTGGGTGCTTTGGGGAGCCCCTTCTCCTCCCCCGAGCCCCTTTCTGACGGTGCCCAGGAACTCCCGGGTTGGGACCCAGGAGGGCGTTGGCTGACAGCCATTGGCCGACACTCCCCAGGGGCTGACGCAGGTGTGTCTGGACTGTGTCGGTCTGGCTGAGCCCAGTGCTAACGGCCCAGGACCAGTCAGGGAAGCCCAGCAGGGAACGTCCGGTCCAGGACCCCCGGGGGCAGCATGTGGGTCCCTTCCTGAGAGTGCAGGGAGCCCACGCCCCGAGTGACCTGCCAGGAGGCCGGGACACGCGCCCCAAGAGAAGGGGGGATGTTAGCCCCAGGCTGGTGCTGGCTGCAGGACAGGCCCCAGCTGCGGGCTCAGGTCGAGGGCGTCTTTATCAGTCCCAGGACTGCGTGGCCCATGGGCCGCCTGTGAGCGGGGCAGTGCTGCTCACTGGCCGGCCGGGCTCTCGGCATCGGGGTGGGCTGCTGTGTTAGCGGCAGGAATTGCTCAGCGGGACGCCGCAGCGGGACGTGCGAGGCCCAGGAAGGATGGGGTCGGAGCCTCAGCACTCCAGGGCTGGAGCCCCGGCCGCCCGCACTGCCTGGGGGGTGTCGGCAGGCGGAGGAGAGGCAGGGAGGGCCCTGCCCATGGGGTCAGCGCCGTTCCTCCAGGCACCTTCCACAGCAAGGAGGGAGGCAGAGGCTGCTGGAGCCCCTTGTGGGCAGGACACTCTGGCCAGGCTGGCGCTGCGAGGCCCCTGCTCTGGACCCCCGGCTACCATCGCCAACAAAAGCCACTTGGGGAAGGAGCCAAGTCAAAATCCAAACCAACGGGCCAGAACGCAGAGCCCAGCCCAGCCCAGCCCGCCCCACGGCTCGCTCCACACGGGGCACACAGGTCTGGGGAGCTTTCCGGGGAACCCAGGGGTGGGGGCAGCTCCCCGGGGACCCTGCAGGGCTTGTCTCTACGGGGGACATCGGGCAGCTCCAGGTGGGACCCCAAGGGCTCCCGACACCCGGCTCCACGCACCGAGTCCGGCCTCCAGACACGGGGCTCGGGGAAGGTGCCTGATCCGCAGCGGGGCTGAGCTGTGCTGGAGCCCAGGGGTCGCTGGTAGGGGTCCACGTCAGACCCCACATCGGGGTGTTGGAGCCCCGGCAGCGCAGCCCCTCTCCGAGTTCGGGGGGGGGGAGGGGGACTCGATCTGTCAGGCTGCGGCCCCAGGATCTCCAGTCGCTCCCATCCAACCAGCACGGGGATCATCAGCACAGCCCCGGGACCTGTCCCCACAGGCCACCCCCCGCTCCTGCAGGACCCCCAGGCAACAGTGACGTGCCCCCTCCTTGTCTGACCCCTGCCTAGGAGCCACTTCATCCCCTCGGGGTCACCGGCTGCCCCCCTTGTCCCTGTGACAGGCCAGGCCTTGGCTGAGCCCTGGGAGCTTTTGGCCTCGCTGGGACCTTGTGGCAGTGAGTTCCCCAGGCTCATCACATGCTGTGTAAAATAAGTGCCCCTGACTCGTGGGCGCCTGATGGCCCTGGGGGTTTCTGCTCCTCACTTGAACCCCACATTTTGTTCTGTTTTCTCTGAACTGAACAGACCGATTCTCTCCTAGGAAACACGATCGCCAACACGGCCACAGCCGGCACGGCACCCACCAGCGACACGACCACCCCCATGCCCCAAGGGGACACAACCACCCCGGCCCCCTCGGTGACACAACCACCCCCGGCCCCCCTCGGTGACACAACCACCCCCACACTCCCCCAGTGACACGACTACCCCCGGGCCTCCCAGCGAGACGACTACCCCCAGTCCTCCTGGCGACACGACTACCCCTGGTGACACAACCACCCTGGCACCCCCTGGCGACACAACCACCCCTGAGCCTCCCGGCGACACAACGACCCCGGCACCCCCTGGTGACACAACCACACCCACACTCCCCGGTGACACGACTACCCCTGGGCCTCCCAGCGAGACGACTACCACCAGTCCTCCTGGTGACACGACTACCCCTGGTGACACAACCACCCCTGGGCCTCCCGGCGACACAACCACCCCTGAGCCTCCCGGTGACACAACCACCCCTGGGCCTCCTGGCGACACAACCACCCCTGATACTCCCGGCGACACAACGACCCCTGGGCCTCCTGGCGACACAACCACCCCTGAGCCTCCCGGTGACACAACCACCCCGGCCCCCTCGGTGACACAACCACCCCCACACTCCCCAGTGACACGACTACCCCCGGGCCTCCCAGCGAGACGACTACCCCCAGTCCTCCTGGCGACACGACTACCCCTGGTGACACAACCACCCTGGCACCCCCTAGCGACACAACCACCCCTGAGCCTCCCGGCGACACAACGACCCCGGCACCCCCTGGTGACACAACCACACCCACACTCCCCGGTGACACGACTACCCCTGGGCCTCCCAGCGAGACGACTACCCCCAGTCCTCCTGGTGACACGACTACCCCTGGTGACACAACCACCCCTGGGCCTCCCGGCGACACAACCACCCCTGAGCCTCCCGGTGACACAACCACCCCTGGGCCTCCTGGCGACACAACCACCCCTGAGACTCCCGGCGACACAACGACCCCGGCCCCCCATGGTGACACAAGCACCCCTGGACTCCCCAGTGACACAACCACCCCCTCACTCCCTGGCGACACAACTACCTTTGGGCCTCCTGGTGACACGACTACCCCCGGCGACACAACCACCCCTGGGCCTCCTGGCGACACAACCACCCCTGGGCCTCCCGGTGACACAACAACCCCTGAGCCTCCTGGTGACACAACCACCCCTGAGCCTCCCGGTGACACAACCACCCCTGGGCCTCCCGGCGACACAACTACCCCTGAGCCTCCCGGCGACACAACCACCCCTGGGCCTCCCGGCGACACAACCACCCCTGAGCCTCCCGGCGACACAACCACCCCTGGGCCTCCCGGCGACACAACCACCCCTGGGTCTCCTGGCGACACAACCACCCTGGCACCCCCTGGCGACACAACGACCCCTGAGCCTCCTGGCGACACAACCACTCCTGGGTCTCCTGGTGACACAACGACCCCTGAGCCTCCCGGTGACACAACCACCCTTGGGTCTCCTGGTGATACCACCACCCCTGGGCCTCCCGGCGACACAACCACCCTGGCACCCCCTGGCGACACAACCACCCCTGAGCCTCCTGGTGACACAACCACCCCTGGGTCTCCCGGCGACACAATGACCCCTGAGCCTCCCGGTGACACAACCACCCCTGGGCCTCCCGGCGACACAACCACCCCTGAGCCTCCCGGCGACACAACCACCCCTGGGTCTCCTGGCGACACAACCACCCCTGGGCCTCCTGGTGACACAACCACCCCGGGGCCTCCCGGCGACACAACCACCCCTGGGTCTCCTGGCGACACAACCACCCCTGAGACTCCCGGCGACACAACGACCCCGGGCCCCCATGGTGACACAAGCACCCCTGGACTCCCCAGTGACACAACCACCCCCTCACTCCCTGGCGACACAACTACCCTTGGGCCTCCTGGTGACACGACTACCCCCGGTGACACAACCACCCCTGGGCCTCCCGGCGACACAACCACCCCTGAGCCTCCCGGTGACACAACCACTCCTGGGCCTCCTGGTGACACAACGACCCCTGGGCCTCCCGGCGACACAACGACCCCTGAGCCTCCCGGTGACACAACCACTCCTGGGCCTCCCGGCGACACAACGACCCCTGGGTCTCCTGGCGACACAACGACCCCTGAGCCTCCCGGTGACACAACCACTCCTGGGCCTCCTGGTGACACAACCACCCCTGGGCCTCCCGGCGACACAACGACCCCTGAGCCTCTCGGCGACACAACCACCCCTGGGTCTCCTGGCGACACAACCACCCCTGAGCCTCCCGGTGACACAACCATTCCTGGGCCTCCTGGTGACACAACGACCCCTGAGCCTCCCGGCGACACAACCACCCCTGGGCCTCCTGGTGACACAACGACCCCTGAGCCTCCCGGTGACACAACCACTCCTGGACCTCCCGGCGACACAACGACCCCTGGGCCTCCCGGTGACACAACCACTCCTGGGCCTCCCGGCGACACAACGACCCCTGGGTCTCCTGGCGACACAACGACCCCTGAGCCTCCCGGTGACACAACGACCCCTGAGCCTCCCGGTGACACAACCACCCCTGAGCCTCCCGGTGACACAACCACCCCTGGGCCTCCCGGCGACACAACGACCCCTGAGCCTCCCGGCGACACAACCACCCCTGGGTCTCCTGGCGACACAACGACCCCTGGGTCTCCTGGCGACACAACGACCCCTGAGCCTCCCGGTGACACAACCACCCCTGGGTCTCCTGGCGACACAACCACCCCTGAGCCTCTCGGTGACACAACCAGTCCTGGGCCTCCTGGTGACACAACCACCCCTGGGCCTCCTGGCGACACAACGACCCCTGAGCCTCCCGGTGACACAACCACTCCTGGGCCTCCCGGCGACACAACGACCCCTGGGCCTCCCGGTGACACAACCACTCCTGGGCCTCCCGGCGACACAACGACCCCTGAGCCTCCCGGTGACACAACGACCCCTGAGCCTCCCGGTGACACAACGACCCCTGGGCCTCCCGGCGACACAACGACCCCTGAGCCTCCCGGCGACACAACCACTCCTGGGCCTCCTGGTGACACAACCACCCCTGGGCCTCCCGGCGACACAACGACCCCTGAGCCTCCCGGCGACACAACCACCCCTGGGCCTCCTGGCGACACAACGACCCCTGAGCCTCCCGGTGACACAACCACTCCTGGGCCTCCCGGCGACACAACCACTCCTGGGCCTCCCGGCGACACAACGACCCCTGGGTCTCCTGGTGACACAACGACCCCTGAGCCTCCCGGTGACACAACGACCCCTGAGCCTCCCGGTGACACAACCACCCCTGGGCCTCCCGGCGACACAACGACCCCTGAGCCTCCCGGCAACACAACCACCCCTGGGTCTCCTGGCGACACAACGACCCCTGAGCCTCCCGGCGACACAACGACCCCTGGGCCTCCCGGCGACACAACCACCCCTGGGCCTCCTGGCGACACAACGACCCCTGAGCCTCCCGGCGACACAACGACCCCTGAGCCTCCCGGCGACACAACCACTCCTGGGCCTCCTGGTGACACAATGACCCCTGAGCCTCCCGGCGACACAACGACCCCTGGGCCTCCCGGTGACACAACCACCCCTGGGCCTCCCGGCGACACAACGACCCCTGAGCCTCCCGGCAACACAACCACCCCTGGGTCTCCTGGCGACACAACGACCCCTGAGCCTCCCGGCGACACAACGACCCCTGGGCCTCCCGGCGACACAACCACCCCTGGGCCTCCTGGCAACACAACGACCCCTGAGCCTCCCGGTGACACAACCACCCCTGGGCCTCCTGGCGACACAACGACCCCTGAGCCTCCCGGCGACACAACGACCCCTGGGCCTCCCGGCGACACAACGACCCCTGGGCCTCCCGGTGACACAACCACCCCTGGGCCTCCTGGCGACACAACGACCCCTGAGCCTCCCGGTGACACAACCACCCCTGGGTCTCCTGGCGACACAACGACCCCTGAGCCTCCCGGTGACACAACGACCCCTGGGCCTCCCGGTGACACAACCACCCCTGGGCCTCCCGGCGACACAACGACCCCTGAGCCTCCCGGCGACACAACGACCCCTGGGCCTCCCGGTGACACAACCACCCCTGGGCCTCCCGGCGACACAACGACCCCTGAGCCTCCCGGCGACACAACCACCCCTGGGTCTCCTGGCGACACAACCACCCTGGCACCCCCCAGCAACACGACCTCCTCCAACCCCCTCAGCACTGCCACAGTGGTTAGCCGTTTCTCTCTCTCGTTCCGCATTGTGAACAGGATCTTCAACAGCTCCCTTCGCGACCCCACCACCAGTTACTACCAGGAGTTGGAGATCAGAGTCCGGATCATGGTGAGCACAGCAGCCCCTCCCTCCCCTCCCGGCACCCTGCCCCGGCCTGCCAGCTGGGGGTGGCTGCCAGCCCCAGGCTGGGGGCTTCGCGGGGAGCTCCATCGAGCTGCCGTGAGCCTTCGGGCCTCTGGTGGCTGCTGCCGTTCGGGCTCCACACACAGAGACCCCATGGAGCAGGGAGGGGAGACACCCCCACCCCACCCCCCGGCCCAGCCCTGGGCACCAGGCCCCTCAGCCCCAGAGTCTCCTGTCCTGGAGCAGTGAAGGGACAGACCCTCAATCCTGTCTGGGGAGCCCCCTCCCCGGGACCCTGCCCTCGGCTCTGGGCCCCTCTGCCCCTCTCCAGCCAGCTGTGGGGAGACACCCCGTGCCCCTGCACCCCAGCGAAGAGCACAGAGAAGAACAAGGAAGGTTGGCAGGGGCCGGGGCAGATCCGCCAAGCTGGGTGCTCCCAGCCTCCCCGAGCTGGCTGGGTGCTGGCGGTGACCCTGTTCCCCTCTGTCTGTGACAGTATGGCAAGATCTATGGCTGCCCAACGTGCCCGAATGGGCAGAACTACCTGGGATTGACTGATCTGCGTTTCAGGTACAGTGTGTGCCATGGGGCTGCCCCAGCTGTGGGCAGGGGAGGGGGCAGCCTGCTGCCTCCTGGGCTGGGGTGGGGGAGAAAGGTGAGGAGAGAGAGGCTAAATCTGTGAGCGTGTGACCCTGGGGGGGACATGTCTGAGCAGCCCAGAGCTTTGGCTGCCTGAGGCCGTGCTGGGCAGGTGTGCTGCCCTGGGGGGCTGTGGCAGGGGTAGGGGCAGGTGGGAATGGAGGAGCCAGAGCAGGGGCAGGTGGGAATAGGGGGGGTTGGGGCAGAGGCAGGTGGGAATAGGGGAGGTTGGTGCGGGGGCAGGTGGGAATAGGGGGAGGTTGGTGCGGGGGCAGGTGGGAATAGGGGGAGGTTGGTGCAGGGGCAGATGGGAAGGGGGGGGTTGGGCAGGGGCAGGTGGGAATAGGGGGAGGTTGGTGCGGGGGCAGGTGGGAATAGGGGGAGGTTGGTGCGGGGGCAGGTGGGAATAGGGGGAGGTTGGTGCAGGGGCAGATGGGAAGGGGGGGTTGGTGCAGGGGCAGGTGGGAATAGGGGGAGGTTGGTGCGGGGGCAGGTGGGAAGGGCAGGGTTGGGGCAGGGGCAGGTGGGAATAGGGGAGGTTGGGGCAGGGGCAGGTGGGAATAGGGGAGGTTGGTGCGGGGGCAGGTGGGAATAGGTCAGGGTTGGGGCAGGGGCAGGTGGGAAGGGCAGGGTTGGTGCGGGGGCAGGTGGGAATGGAGGAGCCGGAGCAGGGGCAGGTGGGAATAGGGGAGGTTGGGGCAGGGGCAGGTGGGAATGGAGGAGCCGGAGCAGGGGCAGGTGGGAATAGGGGAGCTGGTGCAGGGGCACGGGAAGGGCCGGGGCCAGACCCAGTTAACGCCCCCTCTCCGGCACGCTCGGCAGCCAGGGCTCGGTGGTGACAGAGTCCGTCCTGCTGTACCGAGTGAGCGACGACACCAGCATCAGCGCCGCCGACATTGAGCAGCAGCTGAGACAAAGGCTGGGCAGGAATAACAGCTTTGATGGGCTCCAGCTGGACAGTATCCGCGGTGAGCAGGCTCCAGCCGGGCCCCACAGTGTGGCCACAGCCACGTGTCCGGGGGTCCCTGTCCTGGGGGGCTCAGCCCATGGCTGAGGGGGGCTGGTGTCCTTGGCCCTTGTGCAGAGCTCTGTGGAGACCGGGCTGCCCCCGGGGGCTCCTCCAGCTCCCAGCAGAGGCCCCTGGCTGGGCTGCTTTGGGGCGTGTCTGTGGAGGGTGCCTGCCCTGCCCTGCCAGCCCGGCCCAGCCTGTATCTGTCCCAGGGAGGGAGGGAGGGTTTCTGGGCCCCCTGGCAGGGCGCCCATTCAGAGCCGTCCTCGCTGACCCTGGGGCTGGGCCCCCGGCCATCAACTCAGCCTCTTCCCAGCACCCCTGGGCCAGCCCCTTTCCCACAGCCCCTTTCCCTGGCTCTTCTGCCTGGCCAGCTGCGTCCCCTGGCGTGGGCCCCTCTACGGGATCCCTCCCCTCCGGGTCCTCCCCAGCCCCTGACTGCTCCTACTTGTGTTTCAGCCAGTTTTATCGGAACAAGTTCGCCCACCTCGGCGCCAGCACCCCTGGTGCCCGGCTGGGGCATCGCCCTGCTGGTCCTGGTCTGCATTGGGCTGGTGCTGAGCATTCTCCTCTTCATCCTGCTGGTGAGTGCCCCCCCGCTGCCCATCCCTCCGGCCTCAGGCCCCTCCAGCCTCTCTCCTTCTCCCTGCCTGACCCCACTGTGATGTGTTTCCCCCCCGCACTCTTCAGGGTGCCATCTGGACCTGGGGTACCACTGAACCCGCCTGGCCCACCAGCCTGGGCTCCCTCTCACACTATGCTGCTGTGAGAAGTTGCCAAGCTTTCCAAGCTTGCTCTTTCACCAGCATTCACAGCGGTAGGGACACACTCAGCTGCAGCTTCACACACAGATGCTGAGATCAGTGGGAGGCTCAGCTAAAGAACTACCCAATTACTCAAGTGCACACCCCGCTCTGGAGTGTAAACCCAAAATTATGCCATCTTGCACTGCAAAGAGAACTGTACAGCGTAAATTCATGAAATTTTCTCCCTCCCTCAATGTGGAGAAGAATATACACAGGTTTCTGCCCCAAGTCATGATTTCCACACACACTGGTTTTAGACAAAACAAAAACAAGTTTATTAACTATAAAAAATAGATTTTACATGATTACAAGTGATAACAAACAGATCAAAGCAGATTACCTAGTAAATAAACAATACCGCCAACTGAGCTCACCACACTAGATAGGTAGGATATGAATTAGCAAATTCTCTCCTTGGGTGATAAAGAGGCTGGCCGATGCTTATGGCACAAGCTGCTTTTGCTTTGCAGCTTGAGTTTCCCAGGTTTTCATATACAGGCTAGAAATCCCTCTGTTCTGGGACCATCACTTCCCACAGTTCAGTCCTTGCCCCTCAGGTGTTTCCAGGTGTGTTGTTGCAGGGAGAGTGAGGTCCCCTCGTAATGTCATTTCCCCCCTTTGAAATCTTCTCCCCACTTGCTGGAAAGCTCTTTTGCTGTGACCTGGGTCAAAAAGTTCCCATTGTGTGGCGCTGTCTCTGAGAGGTTTCTATTGTCTACAGTCCCTGGGGTAGCCCTGGTGCTTGTGTGTATTTCCTCCATGAGCCGTTAACATTGTTTGGCCTTTTTACTGTTGTACCTGAAAGGCTGCTTGGGGGTGTTTTTACCCTCACAACACGTTCCAGTAACACACACATAGCCAAACTTCATAACTTCACACACGACGACAACACACACAATCCAATGAGATATTACTGTCGAGCAGATCAAGACTTTTAGAATGACACCTCACAAGGCACACTTTGTTCAAAACACATCCTAATTACATGACAGTGCTGAATTTTGGGGTGCCAGGGTGTCACACCCACCATCCCCTTCGCATCCCCCTCTGCTCACCAGCCTCCTCTCATCCCTCTAGATCGTCTGCTCGTACCGCAGGAGGAGCCGTGGGAAGCTGGATCTGCTCAGCTCACATACCTCGTACCAGCCCAGGAGCGAGTACCCCACCTACCACACCCACGGGCGCTTCAGCGCCCCCGGCAAGAAGCAGAACCCCTACAGTGACGTAAGCAACGGGGCCTGGTCCTGCCCTGGGGTGCCCCCTCACCCAGCGTGTGCCCCAATGCCTGTCCCCTGTACGCTGCCTGGGTGCACCCCGGACGCCGGCCCCCAGTACATGGCAGCCCTGCCAGGCACACGCTGGGTGTGCCAATGCCTGGCACTGATGACAGATGCCCCACCACACACATTGCTCACTGAGGGGGGTTTTGGGCGGAGGAGGGGGTTGGTCAGCTCATCCCAGAAAATTTCACCAGAGAGAAGAACACAAACCCGGGAGGCGCGGGGGGGCTAGTGTGCGATGGTGGCATGGTGCTTCCCATGGTCCTAACTGCCCCACTCAATGCACCCCCCTCCCCCCGCGAGAGAGCCAAGTGGGAGGGTCAAGAGCACAGGGAGTCCCAGAGCCAGGAATGTGAGCACGGGGCCCTATACAGCTCGTCGGGGGGCGGGGTGATGTGCTGGGGTGATGCAATGTGGGGGGTGTTCCTGGGGTAGAGAGGAGGTTATGGGGTGTGATCCTGTGGGATTATAGGGCATGGTCTTGGTTTGGTTATGGGGTGTGGTTCCTGGGGGTGTCTGGGGGATTATAGAGCGAGGTCCTGGCGGGTAGTCCTGTGGTGTGGGGGTGCATGTTCCTGGGGGGACAGGGGATGGGTCTGACCAGAGCCAGGGGAAGTGTTGTTCTCCCCAGTCAGGTGGCTGCAGCCCAGGTCCCGTGGGGCAGCCTCTGACCTTGACCCCGGCCCCCCTCGCTGAGTTAATCACTAACAGGGCAGCTCCTGGCTGATGTGAAACCAGCAGCTAATGGCTCTGCCCGCCCCGCCCCCACGGCTCAGCCCTGGTCTCTGGGGGCCGCCAGTCCTGTACCTGCCATGGCCTGTCCTGTCTTGGGCAGCACCAGCGTCCCCTGTCCCTGCCTGCCCTGGGACCAGGGCTCGGATGGTCCGTACCCCCGCCCCATCGCTCTCCATTCCCATGGGGGCTCGGCGCGGCTCCAGCGGGACCCTCAGCAGGGCTGTTTGGGGAGAGAAAGAAGGAGCCACCGACCGGCTCCTCCGCCTCAGCCTGGGAAGAGCGTTAGGTGTGGCTGGGGGCAAGTAACCCCTGACCAGCCCCCGGCCCCGCTGGCTTCTCCGGCCCCGGCAGGTCCTGCGCCAGACAGGACGTTTGCTGAACGCTCGGCCCTAGTTCGGCAGCAATTCACTCCGGGCCGGTCTCTGGTCAGACGAGATGGTCACCATGGGCCGGCCGGCCTGGGACAGTCCAACCTGGACTCTGTGACTCCTGCTGCTGTCTGTGGGGAACGAGCCCCCTGCCTTGCTCCAGAGGGGCGGGGGCCTGGAGTGGGGCTGGGATCAGAGGGTGCAACAGTGGGTGGGGGGACGGAGTGAGAGGGGGGTCAGAGGGTGGCTTTGGTAGTGTGGGTAGGGGCAGGGTGAGGTGATGGAGTGGAGGTGGGGTGGTGGGGCAGGGAGGGAGGGGGGTGGGGTCAGAGGATGGCACTGTGGGTGGAGGGATGGAGTGGGGGTGAGGTTGAGGGTGGGGTAGTGGGATGGGGTGGGGTCGCAGAGCGAGGTGGTGGGGCAGGCAGGGAGGGGGGTGGAGGTGGGTCAATGCCTGGCTCTGAGACAAGGCTCTCTACAAATGGCCCCCTTGGCAGCGCTGGCTGGGCCCCTTGCCCGGGGCGGCCTGGCTGGGCTCTGCCTCCTGCACTGTGCCCATGGATCCCAGGTGGCCCCACTCCTGCCCCGGGACGGGGGGTTAGTGTCACTCTCACGCCCGGCGGGAGGCTCCTGGCTGGGGGATGCCTGCCCTGACGGACGCTGGCCAGGGACCGGGGGGGCTGTCAGGGCACTGGGTCACTCTGCTGTTCAATGGCCTCAGCCAGACCAGCCCCAGCCCCAGCTCCAGGTCCGGCCCAGGCCAGCCCCAGGCCCAGCGAGAGTGGCCAGGCATATCCAGTTTTATGCCTGGTTGAAAAGGGACTCTGGCGGTTCTGGTCAGCACTGCTCGCCGGTCCATTAAAGGGCAGTTGGCGGTACAGGGGGGCTGCAGGATCCCTGCTCGGCTCCATGCAGCTCCCCGGAAGCAGAGACATACCCCTTAGCTCCTAGGCGCCTCCTCCCACGCCCCAACCCCCTACCCCAGCCCGGAGCCCCCTCCCACACTGTGAACCCCTCGCCTCCACCCCGCAGCCTGGAGCCCTCTCCTGCACCCCAAACCCCTCATCGCAGGCTCCACTCCAGAGCCCACATCCCAACCCCCTACCCCAGCCCGTAGCCCCCTCCCGCACTGTGAACCCCTCGCCTCCACCCCGCAGCCTGGAGCCCTCTCCTGCACCCCAAACCCCTCATCGCAGGCTCCACTCCAGAGCCCACATCCCAACCCCCTACCCCAGCCTGAAGCCCCCTCCCGCACCCTGAAGCCCTCATTTCTGGTCCCACCCTGGAACCACACCCCCCCCACCCATTTCTGGCCCCACCCTGGAGCCCTCACGCCCTCTGTACCCCAACCCCTTGCCCCAGCCTGGTAAAAATAAGTGAGTGAGGGTCGGGGAGAGCGAGAGACAGAGGGGGGATGGACTGAGCGGGGACAGGGCCTCGGAGAAGGGGACGGGGCAAGGCCGTTAGCTTTTGTGTGATTAGAAAGTTGGCCACCCTAGGCCCAGCACCCATCACGTGCCCCCCACGCTGCCGTGGGGCGGCGGAGTTGGCGCGGTCCCTGAGGTCTCTCCCTGCTGCCAGGGATGGGGTGGCCAGGATCGAACGGGACTGGGGTCTGATCGTCAGTGAGCCCCTCCCCAGCCCCAGAGCCCCGGTTTCCATGCCGACAGGGGTACATGGTGGTTGCCTGGTTGGGGGTGGATTGGCCCAGGCTGGCTCTAACCCCATCCCCTCTGCTTCCTCCCAGATCGCCGCCGGCAACGGCACCAACGCCTTCTACGCCAACCCTGCCACGTCACAGAATCTCTAGGGGGCCACCCCGAGGACCGGCGGGAGCAGAGCTCCCAGCATCGCCGCGTGCTTCCTGCAGCTGGACTCCAGGGTGCCGGGCAGGGCGACAAGGCAGCCCCGGGCAGGGGTTTGCTGCACAGGGGGTTGGATTCACAATTGGGGAGGGGGTGACTGCCCCCCCGACCCTGCAACCCCTGGCCCTGCGATTGAGCCACATGGGGCGAGTACTAATGGGGCAAATACCTCTCTCGCTCCACAAGGGAGAGCAAAGGGGCTGCCCCATATATCCCCCCCCAAGCCAACCAGCCTGGGCAGTGCAGGGAGTGGGGCAGGGACTCCCCAGGGGTTGCGTTGGCCTGCACCGCTGGCCTGGGGCTCTGTTTTTGTACCTGTGATCTGTAACCACGCCGTTCTGTGATGGCCGCCCCGCTGTGACGGAGAAGTGGGGGTCACAATGTCCTTGGGAAGGTCTGTATTTATAGGGGTGCACAATAAAGGGATCTGTGATGAGTCAGGCTCTTGCTTGGTTTTCTCCTGCACCTCTCGGACGTCTGCTTTGGCAACGCTGCCCGCAGGGCAGGCGAATCAGCGCCACGGTCCATGTGCAGGGGGCTGTGGGACCGGCATCCCTCAGAGCCAGCACCGCCCAGCACACAGCTCACAGCCCAGCAAGTCATCCTGTCATCTAGGGCCAGGGTACCCGGTGCCCTCTCCTGCTCCGACAAAGGGGAGCTCAGCCCCTGAAAATTCCTCCCCTCCAGCCAGGTGAGAGCAGGAGGACAGCAAAAACGCAGCAAGGAAATGGCTGTGCAGGTGTAAAATGGACTCAAAGAAAAGTCTGGCTCTGAGACTGGCCTCGGTGTGACCAAGAGCCCTGCAGTGCCCAGAATCCTGAGGGGCAGCACGTTGGCAGTGCCCAGAATCCCCCCGGGTGTTACCCAGAGCCCTCTCGTCAGCGCCAAAGCTCTGTCTGGTATTTCAGTGGGACTGAACTGCAGGAAATGGGGTTTCACGGCAGCCACACGTAACCTGCAATGTCACCAAAGGCGAAATTGGACGAGAGGAGGCGGGGGCCATAAAACCATCATGAGGGGCCAGAACAGACCCAGCTGCCCCTTGCTTTAACCTGGGCTAGTGCATTGATCTTCCTGAGCCCGGCGTTTCCACGGGGGTGGGACAAAGCGGGATTGTTCTTAATGACCTCTGAATATTGTGGGGGTGCCTCAGTTTCCCCTGTGCAGTTCTTAAGTACCTAGGGGGTGGGGTAAGGGTGTATGATCATTGCAGAGCCCTAGAGGGCAGGTGTGTGCAGGGGTCTGGACACAGAGAATGGCCAACACCCTGTCTCCTGGCAACTGATGGCCTGGGCCCTTCCCCCCTGCAAGGTGAGAGCTAAAGGGTTGGAGAACAAAGGAGTCAGGTGACCTCCTGGCCCGGGGGAAGGGACAAAGCCCAGAGGAGGAGGGGGTGGAGGGACTTTCAGTTGGGGGCTGGCTGGGACATAGAGTGAAGGGCAGACGTGGTTGTCTGGCTCACTGCCCCCCAAAATGGACCCAGCTGAGGGATCCCGTTCTCTGCACCTACAAGCTCTGTGTTAGACCATGTTCCTGTCGTCTAATAAACCTTCTGTTTTACTGGCTGGCTGAGAGTCACGTCTGACTGCGAAGTTGGGGGGCAGGACCCTCTGGCTTCCCTAGGAGCCCCGCCTGAGCGGACTCGCTGTGGGAAGCGCACGGAGGGGCAGAGGATGCTGAATGCTCCGAGGTCAGACCCAGGAAGGTGGAAGCTGTGTGAGCTTTGTGTCCTGAAGACAGGTTGCTCCCAGAGAGGAGACTCCCCCAGTGTCCTGACTGGCTTCATGGGGAGCAGGTCCAGAGCATCACCCAGGGACTCCGTGACAACTGGTGGTAGCCGTGGGATATACTGCACCCCATGGATGGCAGTTCCTGCAGTAAGTGACTGGGGAGCAGTAAAACGAAGGGGGATTGATGAGGACCAGGCATGCTGAAGGCTAAGAGAGGAGCAGTTTCAGGAGGTGGTTAACCCCTGGGAGTGTGTGACCAGCGAGAAGGACTGTGCAGTAATGGGGTCCCCCTGGGGACTGCAGTGAGCAGTTTCAGGGGCGGAGGAGCCTGCGGCTTGGCCCTGGGAGAGAGAAGGACTTTTGCAGTAACCGGGCTCCCCTGGGGATTGCAGTGAGCGGTCCCAGGGCCGGAGGTGTCTGCCGCTTGACCCTGGCAAAGAGGTGGTGACCTCGAGAAGGGCTGGCACACTAGGGGTTCTCCCTGGAAACCGTGGGGAGCTGAGAGCACACAGGCCTGTGAGTCCACAACAACTTGGGAAGAGCGGAGTGATGGCCTGTCACCGTCTCCTTAAGAAGGACATTGTAACCCTGTGCAGAAAGAGAGGGTTGCGCATTGGAAAGTTCACCAAGGCACAGTTCATCCTGCAGCTGGAGGAGGATGACTGCCCTAAGGAACAGATTCCTGACCCCAATGGGGCTATAGCAGGATCTGGGAGCAGCTGGAGTGGTAGCCGGCATCCCGAAGACTCCTGTCCCCGACCAGACGAGGGTCTTCACGATCGGGTTCCCCATCGGGGGATCAGAGACGGACGGGATTGGAGCTGAGGGGGGGATGTGGATGCCCACCTCACTGCCTTTGAGCAGGCTGGCGATTTGAACCAAGGGGACCCTGCGGAAAAGCCCCGGTGTCTAGCTCCCTTGCTGGGTCCCAAGGCCATAGACTCCGTCAGCCAGATGGGTGGGGAGGTGGACAGGCTCCCACTCCTGACCCCAACCTATATGTCTGTGTGGAGTTTCCTGGGGCCAGGCCCCTCGGACCCCCAGTGGGAGCGGAAGGTGATGGTCAATGGGGAGACATTCCTGGGGTGGCGAGATCCTGGGACAGAGAGAACTGGTGTCAGGCCCTGGGTGGTGCAGCCTCAGATGCTGAGGGGCTGTGTGAGCTGGGTGAGGGTCCCAGGGATGAAGCCCCTCGCCCTGCCTATGGCCCAGATCCCTGTGCAGACCCAGGAGGGGTGGGGCTGGCTGGTCGTTGGGGTGCTCTAGGATACCAGTTGCGAGATCCTGTTGGAGGGTGACTGTGTCTCTTTGGGACAGGATCTAGGCCCTGCTCCGGTAACAGCCAAGGGTTTCAGAGTAACAGCCGTGTTAGTCAGTCTTTGCAAAAAGAAAAGGAGTACTTGTGGCACCTTATGCTCATGCTCAAATAAATTGGTTAGTCTCTAAGGTGCCACAAGTCCTCCTTTTCTTTTAGCCAAGGGTTTGAATTTGAATCCAGGGAACCAATCGGTGGAGAGGGAAATGGTCAGTGAAAATGTAGATGACCTGGCTGGCAGGGGGGAGGAGCCTCTAGGCTCAGGATACCTGCCTGCCTGTAAGCAGACCTCTGGGGCTGGGTGGGACAGAGAGATGATCCCCACACCCCTGCACACTGGAGAGGGGGGCTCAGGGGGCTCAGAGGGCTCAGGCTGGCTCTGATGCAGTGAGGAAAGCAGCCAGCTCGCTGCCTACCCCCACTGGGACAGCAAGGGCAGCGCTGAGCAAAGTGGGAGTTGAGACCCCAGCTGAGGGGGGGAAGACACAGGCAGGGCAGGGGATCTGTTGGGAGTGGCAAGGTGTCATGGAGTCCCTGGGCAATGCTCTGGAACTGCTCCCCATGAAGCCAGTCAGGACTCTGGGGCAGTCTCCTTCCTGGGAGCAGCCTGTCTCCAGGACACACAGTTCACACAGCTTCCACCTTCCTGGGTCTGACCTCGGAGCATTCAGCATCCTCTGCCCCACCGTGCGCTTCCCACAGCGAGTCCACTCAGGCAGGGAAGCCAGAGGGTCCTGCACCCCAACTTCGCAGTCAGACGTGACTCTCAGCCAGCCAGTAAAACAGAGGGTTTATTAAACGACAAGAACATGGTCTAAAACAGAGCTTGTAGGTTCAGAGAACGGGACCCCTCAGCTGGGTCCATTTTGGGGGGCAGTGAGCCAGACAACCACGTCTGCCCTTCACTCCATGTCCCCAGCCAGCCCCAAACTGAAACTCCCTCCAGCCCCTCCTCCCCTGGGCTTTGTCCCTTTCCCGGGTCAGGAGGTCACTGGATTCCTTTGTTCTCCAACCCTTTAGCTCTCACCTTGCAGGGGGGAAGGGCCCAGGCCATCAGTTGCCAGGAGACAGGGTGTTGGCCATTCTCTGTGTCCAGACCCCTGCACACACCTGCCCTCTAGGGCTCTGCAATGGTGGAGCTGTCGAACCGGGCGCACCACTGCCGGGTGTACCATGTGAATATGATGAAGCCATATTATGCTAGGGGGAATGTGGTGTTGGCCGTGTGTGGACAGTGGGAGGAGCAGGGAGATGACCCTTTAGTAGATCTATTCCCTGGGACCAGAGCTGGTTCCCCCCTGGAAACAATTCCCCTCTCGGATCAGCTAACCCCTGCCCAGCAAGCTGAGGTCATGGGGGTGCTGCATCCGTACCGACAGCTGTTTTCCAGCCAGCCTGGACGCACTAATCTGACTGTCCACCGGGTGCAGACGGGGTCGCACCCGCCGATAAGATGCTCCCCCTTCCGAGTCACAGGGAAAACTGCTCAGGACCTGGAAAGAGAGGTCCGGGACATGCTGGCTTTGGGGGTGATCCAGCCATCTGCCAGCCCTTGGGCCTCGCCGGTGGTGCTGGTCCCCAAAAAGGATGGGTCGGTCCGGTTCTGTGTGGACTATCGGAAGCTCAATGCCATCACTGTATCTGATGCCTACCCCATGCCCAGGCCGGACGAGCTCCTAGGCAAGCTGGGAGGAGCTCGGTACCTCACCACCATGGACCTTACAAAGGGCTACTGGCAAGTGCCGCTGGATGCAGATGCCCGACTGAAATCGGCCTTTATCACCCCTCTGGGGCTCTGCGAGTTCCTGACCCTGCCTTTCGGCCTCAAGGGAGTGCCGGCCACCTTCCAGCGCCTAGTGGACCAGCTACTGAGGGGGATGGAGAGTTTTGCCGTGGCGTATATTGATGACATCTGTGTCTTTAGCCAGACCTGGGAGGACCACGTGTCCCAGGTTAGAGAAGTGCTGGACCGACTCCAGGGGGCTGGGCTGTCTGTAAAAGCGGAGAAGTGCAAGGTGGGGATGGCGGAAGTATCTTACCTGGGCCATCGGGTGGGGAGCGGCTGCCTAAAGCCGGAACCCGCCAAGGTGGAGGTGATCAGAGACTGGCCCGCTCCCCACACCAAAAAGCAGGTCCAAGCCTTTATTGGGTTGGCAGGATACTACCGAAGATTTGTACCCCACTTTAGCGCCATAGCCACCCCCATACTGAGCTATGCAAGAAGGGGAAGCCAGACAAGGTGGTCTGGACCGAGCAGTGCCAGGAGGCTTTCCGGGCGCTGAAGGAGGCTCTGGTCAGTGGCCCAGTTCTGGCAAATCCAGACTTTGACAAGCCCTTTGTGGTGTTCACCGACACCTCCGACATGGGACTGGGGGCGGTGTT